CCCCCCCTCCCCTAAAAGATGGCGAGGGGCTAGGGGGATCCTGGGCTCAGGTGGGAAAAGAGGAGCTTAGCTGCAGGATGGGGAAATGGCAGCTGGGAGAACTGAGGGGCGTGCCCCTTTCCAGGCTCCTTCCTAGACCCCAAGAGTCTTCGGAGTGAGGCGAGGGGCATATACCTCAGGCCCCAGCCGGCTGAAACCTAAAGGACACTGCTCAAGAAGAGGGTCTTCCTGAGGCCCCCCCACCGCCCCGCAACAGCCTTCTCCAGAGGCCCCACCCAGTCCCCTGACTGTGGCCCCTCAGGATGTGCCCTGAGCCTCCCTACAGCCCCACCCTGCCCTGCCCACCGCCCCAGCCGGGTCCTGGGTCCCAGGGTCCCAGCAGGCCCACTGGGTGGAATGTAGTCGTGTCTCAGACTGCCAGTGGCTTCTACTCCCCAGACAGGCCCAGACAGCCCCAGCCAGCAGCTGAGAGAGATTCCCCAATAGCCTGGCAGCTGCCAAGCCACCAAAGAAAACAGGACGCCCCCCACACTCACACGCACAGCAGCCACCCCGCCCCACACACGCCCCCGAGTTGGGCAGAGCCAGTCTGGTTTCCTGGGCTGGCTGTGCTGCTGCCACCTCCTCTCACCCATCAATGTCTCGGGCCACTCCTTCGGAAAACCCCCTGCCCAGCCCCTCTCCCTCTGATTTTGAACCAGACCTGCTCACAGCTAGGCAAGAGTTCTTAGAACAGGCGTGGTTCCCTCGGAAAGTCTAGGGGCCCTCCCAGCAACCAGCCATAAGCAATGGGGACCCAGGGGCTGATTCTTAGAAACTTTCCCAGCTTGTTGGGCTGTCCCATTCCCCCCACGCCCCACCCTCAATCCTTCTGCCTCCTTCCCTCTCCTCCTCCCAGGCCTGGATGGGGTGGGTAGAATAGGTTAGCAGCTGACAAGCGCCACCCAAACATTCAACAAACTCTCCTCCCCCGGTCCCTCAGCCCACACTGCCCTAAGCCAATGACCACACCAGATCACACAAGGCATTGAACTTCAGGCAAAGCTTTAATAGTGTGCACTGGGGCAAACCCAGGAGGCCCCTCAGTGAGGGGCTGCAGGAAGCAGATACAGAAAGGCAACAGCTCTTGGACAGTGGCCCAGACAGGCACTCGGGGCTCAGCAGTAGCATGCTAGGAGCTGAAGGCGATGGCTGCCCCATGACCTTCGAGGCTGGGCTGTTGCAAGTGGAAAGGGGCCTCAGTGGGTGGAGCGATGGACTTGCTCTCGAGAAGAGACCACCTTGCCATCTTGGACCTCCTCCACGATGGTGCGCACCTGGCGGCTGGTCACTGTGGGTGCGGGCAGTAGAGGGGGTGCAGGGGACCTCAGGCTGGAGCCTCTCCCCCAGGCTTCCACACGGAAGGGTCCTCAGCCTCCCCCACCCGGTCTGGGCAGGATGGGGCAAGCTCTTACCTTCCCTGGTGGGCTGCAAGGCCAGGGACAAGGAGTACTGGGTGGCCAGGCTGCAGGAAGAAAGAGGGAGACCTGTCAACCCAGGGGTGCCCACTAGGAGCCCAGCCCCCTGGGAGCGGGAGCAGCTGGGGGAGCCCAGGGCCAGGGGAGAGAGGTCCCAGCAAATCAGAGAGAAATCACAGCTGAGCGTGCACGGAAGAGAACAGCAACCACAAGGGTCAGCGGGCACGGGCCCAGGGGGAAAGCGGACACCCCAAAAGGAGGCTCAGAGGCACTTTGCAGCTAATCAAGGATTTACAAGGAAAAGCTGAGCAAGTGGTTTTTCTATACCCCATAGGGTCCAACAAATAGAATCAATTAAAGCAGGAGAGACTGTGGTTAGACTGCAGATGGACTTCACTATCTTCAGGGAGCAGAAAAGCTGGAATATGCGAATAAGCATGAAGATTCTGAACATTCGCGACCCTTTAGAGTAAAGCCCCGCTCCGCCTTCCTGCCGATCGCTCCTCATCCCATCCCGGGTAATGGCATCGCCAATGACACAGTCATCAAAACCAGAAACCCAGAGTTATCGTGTGTGCTCACTCGACATTCACCGAGTCCTGCCTGCGAGCCGCGCCCGCCCCCGCGTCCAGGCATCCAGCCCTGCCATGTTTCACTGTAACACATCCCCTTGGTGCATCACCTTCCTTTCCGCGCCCTCCGCCCCTCGCCTCACGGTCCACCCGCCTGACTCCCTGCTCCAGCCTCCGGACAGGGCTCCCTGAGCCCGCGGTGGCCCCGCTGATGCATTTCTCCCTCTGCAGCCAGAGTGGGTGTTCTGAGATCTCTTGATCATACCCCTCCTGTGCACAGTGTCCCATGGCCTACATTATCCTGTCTGCATGCTTTTCTGTGGCCTTCAGGGTTCCTCACAGCTGGACCCCAGCCAGTGTTCTCAGTTTCGCCCCCTGCAAACCTCCATGCCTCCTCCTGGCCTTTGCTGGAGCTATTACCACAGCTCACACATCCCTCACTGGGTGAAGGGGCCCCAGCCCGCCGGAGCAGGTCCCCGGTGCCCCACTCACTGGGCATCCTCGCCCTCCAGCAGGCGGCGGTAGGTAGCGATCTCCTGCTCCAGCCTCGTCTTCACATCCAGTAGCACCTGATACTCATGATTCTGACGCTCCATGTCACAGCGGAGCTCACCCAGCTGCTGCTCGATGCTGCTGATGAGCCCCTGCAGCTGAGCCAGCTGAACCCCGTAGCGGGCCTCGGTCTCCGCCAGGCTGCCCTCCAGGGATGCTTTCTGTGGGTCAGGGGATAGGTGGCTGGATGAGACCAAGATGGGAACCTTCCCTACAGCGGAGAACCCAGAGGGAGGCCCCACCGTGTGGGGTTGTGGGTGCTGCCAGTGCGGTGGGGCGGTAACCAGGGCAGAAAGGGGCCCATATCACTGTGTGAAGTGACACAGTGTGGGAGTCTCTGGTTCTCCAACTGGGGGCCTACGAGGCTGGGCCTGCGCTGGGACGAAGTTACAGGCCGGGAGAGGACAGATGCCCTACCATGCTGAGCTGGGACTGCAGCTCAATCTCCAGGTTCTGCACAGAGCGACGAAGCTCGGTGATCTCCGTCCTGCTGCTCTGCAGGGCCTCGGTGTTGGTGGCCACCTCACGGTTCAGCTCCTCCGTCTGGAAGGCAGGGTGGGCCACAGGGGCTTGAGGAAGCTTGCGGAGGTGGGGCAGAGGGAGGACACGGGCCCTACCTGAGCTCTGACCTCCCGGACCTGCTCTCCCAGCACCCCCCTGGCCTGTATGGGGCCCCAAACACACCTGCACACAGACATCCTCTGTGCCCACACAGGAACTTAGCAGAATTCACTTTGCTTCGCGGTCATTTACCTTGGTTACTCCTCCTGAGCTGCAAGCACTGCTCAAAGACCGGCCCTAGGTTTTATTCTTTTTGTGCCTGTTATTGTCCAGGGCACTGTAGCTGCTCAGTGTGTGTTTTCTAAGAATATGTGTTATGCATCCAAGCACAGACATACCCACGAAGGCTGGGCGGGAGAAGCCCTCACTGGGAGCGAGGAGCCCAGGCTGCAGTGAAGGGCTGTGTGAGCTTGAGGCCTCTCTGAGCCTCACATCTGCATCTACACATCGGGGGTTGGTCCGACTGGTTTCCAAAGGTCTTTCCAGCTGGGACAGTCTGTGGATCCACACATTTTCCAGCCCGTACTCAGCACACAGCACGCGTACGCGCATGCGTGCGCACCTGCTCACACACGGCCACCCACCTTGCTGAAGAACCAGTCCTCCGCGTCCTTGCGGTTCTTCTCGGCTATCTTCTCGTACTGGTCACGCATCTCGTTCAGGATGCGGCTCAGGTCCACGCCAGGGGCGGCGTCCATCTCCACGCTGACGTCTCCACCCACCTGGCCTCGCAGGGCGTTCATTTCCTGGCAGAAAGCAGAGCAAAAGCTCACCCGAGGCCGTCCTGGCGAAAGACCCTGGGGCCTTCTCTACCTTGAGGAGATGAGTGCAGATGACAGACAGACACAGACAGGCCAACAGCTCCTCAACCATCTCCCCCAACCCACACTCGGGGTTCACCCCCAATGTGTGCTGGGTCAGGACAGGCGGCAATTCTCCATCATGGCAGGAGATAAGCCAGGACAACCTCGCTCGCCAACGCTGACCACCAGCTTTGTCACCCACTGCCAGTCACGCAGCACAGCAAGAGGAAAGCAGCCCCAAGTCGCTAGCAGCAGAGCCAGACCTCCTTAGGAAATGCGATCCCCATAACCAGCCCCAAAGCCAAGTGGAGACTCTTTCTGGGCTCCTGCTCCTCGGGGTTTGGGCTCCCCGCGCTTCGGTCAGCCCACAGGGCAACTGAGAAGGGAGCCGCAGGCTCATTGGTCCCCCTGCAGGGTCGTGGGTTGAGCCTGGGGGTCCCTGGGACCCAGAGTTCTCTGAAAAAAGAGGTTGGAGAAGTGGCAGAGTAGTGGAGTGAGACCTGGGTGTGAGCATGGGTCAGACAGACGGGGTGGATAGTCCCGTGCAGCCTTGGACAAATCTCTTCACCTCTCTGAGCCTGAGTTTCTTCACTGGTGAAGGAAAGAACAAGCGCCTTCTCCCAGGACGGCTGTCAGTATCAGCTGAAGTAATTACTGTGAATCACTTATAATATGCTGGGCAGATGTTCGTTGTTATGACTATCACTATTATAATTAATTGTAATAATTAGCATGCATGTTCTGAGACTGATTTGCTCACTAGATATTAACTGCCGCTACACAATGGGCCGTGCTTCGAGGGACAAGGGAAGTATCTCTGTGGGGAGAGGACCCTCCAGGCCTCACCCAGGGCCCTGTGAGGGTTGCCTAGGAGGCAGACCCCTGGGTGGGCCCAAGGGGATTCGAGGGCCTCAGCCTTGCTTGTTCCCAGGAGAGCTCCTCCTGCATGCATTCCCAAGCCGGCCTCACCTCCTCGTGGTTCTTCCTCAGGTAGGCCAGCTCCTCCTTCAGGTTCTCGATCTGCATCTCCAGGTCAGCTCTGGCCAGGGTCAGCTCATCCAGCACCCTGCGCAGGCCATTGATGTCGGCCTCCACGCTCATGCGCAGGTTCAGCTCCGTCTCATACCTGGGGTGGGGAGGGTGGGGGCATGAGACACGGAGGGCCACGAGGCCACCCCTCATACACACAGAGGGCTCTGTGGTGTGCAGAGCCAAACCCACCCCTAGCAGCCCTGGAGGCCCAGACTCACTTGGTGCGGAAGTCGTCGGCTGCCAGGCGGGCATTGTCTACCTGCAGCACCAAGCGAGCATTGTCCACGGTGGCCGCCAGGATCTGGGGGAGACAATGCGCTCAGTGAGCAAGCACCTGAGAGGGCCCTGCGACAGCCGTCTTGCAGCATTTTGGAGAGTGGGGCAGAGTGGGAGGGTCCCCGTGGTCTTCTCCTCCTCTGAGGACCCTGCCGGGGGCCCTGGCAGAATGGTGGGGGCATGATGCCCAGGCACAGGTAACCATGACGCCAGAGGAGAAACTCAGACGCACCCCTCAACCACTGTGGGGTCACTGCCCAAGCTGCCTGAAATTTGCTCCCTGTTCCCCAACTAACTTCACCTCTAGACTCACTCGCCACCTCCTCCAGGAAGCCTTCAATCTGGGTCCCTCCTCCTGGTCAAACCTCCTCTCCCGCCATCTCTCTTTCACGGCACTTCTCCCAGGTGCAATTGTTCCATGACTTTTCTGGTTATTTCCTCCTCCAGTGGAGTCTGAGTCCCAGGGAACAAGGCCATGTCTGTTTCATTCCCTTCAGAATCCCCAGCCCTGGGCACTGTGCCTGGCCCGGAGTCGGGCCCCAGCAAACACTAGTTTAATTAAGTGATTAGTTAATTAATGAGGTTATTACTGGCCCCAACTCAAACCTAAAGCAAAGTTTTCTTTTCCCGCAGGGTCATCCGGGAAGTTTAAGTGAGAACATGGAAGGCTCTGGAAGGAGCAGAGGGTTAGTTATTATTCTTGCTGCTGTCATTTTACTGTGAAAAATGCCTAAGAGAAGCTCCCGATGAAGGTCATGGGGGCGGGAGGAGAGCGAGGCCCAGAGGGAGCAGAGAGGTCTTGGTGGAGCTGGAGGAGGAGCTGAGGGCTGAAGCGTAGGAGGAGTAAGAGGGGGAAACGTTGCAGGCAAAAGCAGCCCCAGTAGGCTCATCCTGGGTCTAGGAAGCCACCTGCTCAGGCCCTATTTCCATACTGTGCCCCGAGGGCCAGCTTGTTACCTGCACCAGACCTGTGGGCCTATCCCACCCACCTCCCCGCTCAGGAAGCTGATTGGGCCCAGAGAGGGGCCATTGTGAAAAACCCTGAGGGGCACAGTGACTCAGAGGTGTGGAGGCCTGGTGTGGGGTGAGCTGGAGGATGGCAGTGAGTCGCTGGCTGACTCTGAACCAGGAACACTGACTCACCAGGGCTCCCCTGGGTTCCCCACTGCCCAGGCCAAGCCCAGTATCTGATCTGGCACTCCCAATAGCTCTGCTTCCAGGGGGCAATTGCAGGAATTCCCTGGCTGGCAGAGGTTCCAGGCAGAAGCAGACAAACCCCTAGCAGGCCAGCACCATGCCTGGTTTCTCACCAGGACACCGAGCAGGGCTGACTGCCCTGAGCCGACCAGGCCTGGCTCTCGGCATCTTTGACTTCTCACCTGCCTCTGGGGGCTGCAGCACTGTAGGACCCTCCAGTGTTTGTGCAGAAGCCCAGGTGCCACGTTTACGGAATGCCAGGACCATGGTCTTAGAAGTTGTGTGGCGTGTGTGCGCACACGCGCACACACGTGTGTTGTCTTCATGACACTAAGTAAGCAAAATTCCCTCCTTTGGGAGCTTCCAGTCTGAGTAGGAAGCCATAGCTCCTTCCTTCAGGGACTCTCCCCCAATCTGCAAGGAGAGATCTGTCCTCTGCCCTCATGGATCCCCAGAGTGACCATCACAGAGGAAGAGAGGAGGACCCACAACTAAAGCAGCCATAAAAACATATCAGACTCAGTGAAATCAAAATAATGAACAGGGCGTAGACTGAACCTCAAAATGTTGAAAGGACCCCAAGATCTGGGGACAAAAGGCAAGTGCCATCCACCCAAGAGGACTTCTCGGAGGAGGTGAGGTGGGCAGACAGCAGACCCAGAGGGTACTGGGATAGCGAGAAGACATCCATTCTCAGCTCCCCACCTCTATGCCTTTTTCCGTACTGTTCTCTATACCTGGAATGCCTTCTGCTGCCTTCAAGGTTCTGAAGCCTTCCCTGCTGACTCCTCCATCACCCACCCCAAATACACGCCTCCCATAAAGAGAGAATTCAAGAAAACCTCCCTGCATGGGATATCCTCCAAGCCTGGGACCAGGACTGCCCCAGGGCGGGGTTCCAGGGCAAGTGAGTGAATGAATGAATGAATGAATGGATGAAGACCCCAGGTGGAAGAGAAATGTTCACAAAGACCCAGAGTTGAGATAGAATGGGTCAGAAGCAGGTACTGAGGACAGAGAGCAGAGGGCAGAAAGCTGGCTGGTCCACACACCTTGTTCCTCAGCTCCTCGATGGTCTTGAAATAGTGGCTGTAGTCACGGGTGGGCTCAGGGCCCTGCTTCTTATACCAGTCACGGATCTTCACCTCCAGGTCGGTGTTGGCCTCCTCCAGGGCGCGCACCTTCTCCAGGTAGGAGGCCAGGCGGTCGTTGAGGTTCTGCATGGTCTCCTTCTCACCACCACCCAGCAGAGCATCCGATACACCGAAGCTGGCGCCAAAGCCCCCACCCAGGTTGCAAGTGTAGCCCCCACTATAGCCGCCCCCCAAGCCCGCCGAGAAGCGGGACGAGGTGACCGACATGTTGCCACAGCTGCCAGATCCCAGGAGGCTGGGGGCTCTACAGGAGCTCCCGACACGGACTGTGGACATCCGAGAGAAACCCCCGCTGGGCATGCACGGGCCCTTGACAGAGCCAGAGGTTGAGAACTGGCGGATGCTGGTGGTGGTGGCAGCCATGGTGTCCACGGATCAGAAGCAGTGTCTGGTCTGGACAGAGACCCTGGGCAGCCTTTTATAGCCAGGCTACAGAAGGGCTGGGCCCCTGGCCCTTGAAGTCAAAGCCAAAACCCCAGCCATGTAATCTGCTTCTGTACCAGCCGCCCAGGGCCTGGGGCTCAGGCTGGACATGCTGAGTGCATCCCCCAGGCCCCTTCCCCTGCCAGAGCCTGGCCTGGGCAGGTGGCCTCTGAGTAGCCCATTGTTCAGAAACAAAGGGGGTGTTGGAGCCGTGGCCTCAGGGTAGGGTGATCCTCCATTCTCAGCAGCAATTAGGCCGCTGAGCTCATTCTCGGGGGGAGTCAGAGAGTACCCAGCCTTAGGAGCCAGAAAAGGCCTGGAACAAGGCTCCGCAGTCCTGGAGCCTGGAGGCTGCGCTGGTCCTCCACCCAGGATTCCTGGTCTCCAGGAAAAGGATGGAGAGACTAGGAGTGATGCCCTCCCCGGGGTCCAACGTGGCCCTGAAGAAGCCCCCCGGGCTGAGGGAGAATCCGCCTCTGACCTGGGAAGCCCCCAGCTCTCTTGGGATCATCCCAAGTCTGTAGTCCTGGCCTGGGAGTCCCCACATCTGAGGGGAGTAGACACGCTGTGGACCTGAGTCTTATAGGAAGTCAATTCGTGAGCCTCAGTTTCCTCACTTGTAAAACAGGGCTACTTCCTGTCTCCCATGGTCTTGGAGGGAACCTGGAGAGCTAGTAACATTTAATCAAGCTGGGGCTAAGGGAGAGGCTGAAGCAGAGAGTTAGGGCGGCCACTCCAGCTCATCCTCCAGCACCTGAGGAAAGCTATTCCTGGCCCTCCCACCCCAGGAGGCATGATGAGGAGAAGCAAGCTCTACGTGGCAGGGTGCCCCTCAGCCAGCGCCACGCCCGTACCCCTCCAGGAACCCGTGTGATTCCACATCTTGGTGGCTGACAAGGAGATTACCAGCCTAATCTCTGCGGCGCTAATGATTTAGGCGCTGCCAGGACACTGGCGTCTGCACCGGGCTTGTCTGAATGGGAAGCTTCCAGGGCCAGCCAGGGCCCCATGGGATGGGCAGGGGAGGGCGAGCCTGGCTCCACAGGAAGCTTGCGGGTGGCCTGGGCTCTCCGCCACACACAGGGACAGGGAGGGAGTCGGGCATTCCCTATGAAAGGCTTCCTGCTTAGAAGGTGGGTGGGCCTCTTACACGAAGGTGTCTCCTCGCTCGGGGACCACACCAGCTATGTGGGAGAGAAGGGACCAACCTCCATCTCATCCTGCTCCCACCCTGCCTGTGGAGTCTGGGGGTTCTCAAGGTTGCTAGGGGGTGCGGAGGAGGCTCAAAGCCAAGGTCAGACCCCCAGGGCTCTTTCTTGAGGTTAGACCTCAGGGAGGACTTCCTGGCACTCCAGGACCATCTCGGGGGAGGAAAGGGAACCAGCAGAACCTGGAGACACTTGGGTGGGCCGGAGGCAGGTCCTGAATCAGCCAGTCACCCTCACACGAAATGACAAGCAGCGAAGAAAGACCCTCTCCGTCTCCTCCTGAAGCCACACTCCCAGGAACTCCTCTCCCCCACGGGCTGACTGGGCTCCTCCCTCCCCACCCCAAGCAGGCCTCACTCCCTCAGAGAAGGGATCGCCCACCTTCAGCACTGAATCTGGTGCAAAACCAGGGCCTGGAGAGGGGACCCAGATATGAGGCACCGCCCCCGCTTCAGTGCCTCTCCCTAGAGCCCGCAGCCAAGCCCTTGCCCCAACTCCAAAGCCTCCAGACCTTAGCCTTGAGGCCCAGTTCAAAGGGTCAGAGAGTTTGTCGGCCTTTCTTCCTCCCTCCAAAATCACCAAGGCCTCAGCCCCCATCACCACCATTGGTGCCTCCCAATCTCCTCGCCCTGGTGGCCGGCTGCATGCTGAGGTCTGGGCCTCTGTTTCCCCAAGCCAGTGACTTCCAGGCCCTTTGCCTCTGCTCTGTAGAGCCCCACCACCCCCGCACCTCGACCCAGAAAGGCCCCACGTGCTGAAGGACAGGCCCAGCTCAGCCCCTCTCCCCAGGTCAGAGGGCACTTAGACCCCCAGGAAGGCCTCTCTGGCACTCTAGAGTGCATGGCCAGCCCTGGAAGGCCTGGGAAGACCAGACATCCCCCCTATGCAGCCCTCACCCGATCTTCCCAACAAGGCTCGCTGTGAGGAAACCGAGGCTCAGGGCACTTGAGTGGGGAGACGGGCAGTCGGTGTTAGTGGCAAAGCCCAGCCTGGAACCAGGGAATGGGCAGCTCCCACTCTCCCTGCTGAGGAAGATGGCAAGGCAGGAGCTGGCCAGGAGTCTCACAGAGGTCCTCTGAGCCGTGACTCCTTCCACCCAGAACTGTCCTCCACCTGCAGCAAGGAGAAGCCCCTGGCAGCCAGAGGGGCAGCCAGAGGGGCAGCGCAGGGACCACAGTCCCTACAATTGTCAGCAGCTTGGCCCCTATGGAGGAAAAAGGGGAAGAGATCCAGCCCCAGAAGCTGCTGGGAATGCAGCACAATGGAGGAGAGGAGGGAGACCCCAGGGAACAGCTCCCAGCATCCCCCAGGGCCCTCATGCCAGCCCCAGACTTGACTAACTCCAGAGGCCCCGGGTCTCCTCTCCGGAGGGTGCTGGGAGAGGGGCCCCAGGACTACACCCACCACAGTGATGTTGATGGATGGCTCAGGCCCCCAAAACATTAACTGTCACCTCTTAGAGCAGTGCTCATCCCCCACCCCTACCCAAAACCCAGAGCAACAAGTTCTCTGTATTTGCTTGTTGAATTGTCGGGGTCGTGGAGCCTGGGCCATGACTGGGATGAAGGCAGGGACCCGGGAAGGGAACACTTGGCCACCAACCCTGTGCTCCAAGGAAAAGAGTCCACATCAGGCGAGGTCAGGGAAGGAAGAGGAACAGGGGTCTGGGTGGGCTTCCTGGTGGGACCGTGGTTTGGTTAAAGAGAAGAGAACCCAAACCCTTCAGGGGTTCCAAAGACCCTCACTCCATGCCCCCAAAACATTAGTTTTGGGGAGGAGCCCAGTCAGCCCGTGGGGGAGAGGAGTTCCTGGGAGTGTGGCTTCAGGAGGAGATGGAGAGGGTCTTTCTTCGCTGCTTGTCATTTCGTGTGAGGGTGACTGGCTGATTCAGGGCCTGCCTCCTGCCCACCCAAGTGACCCCTGCCACTGGGGTACACGTCAGCTCCTTTCCATTCACCCAGGATGGGATAGGCAGGGCCACCAAGGAGCTCATAGGTCCCCCACCCCTTACCTCACCCCTGAAGCGCTCCCCACAGGGCCAGACATGCCCCTTAGAAATACAGCCTCACCAGCCACACCTGCCCCAGGTGAGAGCCTCTCCATCCTCTCTTCTGTTTCCTCAGCCTTGGTCCTGAGGCCCGAGGCCTGCCCCGCCCAGGTCCGCCCACTAATGATTTGTGTCTAGCTCCAAAGGGGGCCCCGCCCTCCCCTCCCAGGGGCTGTAGGAGATGCAGAACGTTCCTGGGGCTCCTGGGAGCCTCTTCCCAGTTAGAAGAGTCAGAGACAGGGGGTCCCACAGTGCTCCCTCCTCAGGGACAAGTAGACTCAGCCACCTCCCTCTGACTGGTTTCCAGGAACCATCAGCCTGGGCTACATCCAAGATACAGGACACAAGACAATTGAGGACACCTCACCTTTCCAAGCAGAGCCACCTCAGCAGCCAGGGCCCCTCCCCAAAAAGGACTCAGAGGCCTGAGTGCCCCAGATGGGACTCAGGGCAGGAGGAGAGGGCCCAGGAGGGAGGGAGGGCCAGAACCTGCAGGAACAGGTGGGAAGAAAGTCTGGGAAGGGCCCTGCGGGCCTGCGGGAGGCCCCTGTGGAAACTCTTGCTGCTTCCCACAAACTGGACGACTTTGGCCTGAAAGGCCTGCCTCTTCCCTCTGCCCTCCCCCTCCCCTACTTCCTCCCCGTCCCCTTTTCCCTCCCCTCCCCCTTCCCTCCCTCTTTTCTTTCCCTCTTTCCACTCCCCCTTTCCCCTTCCTTGGCCTGAGGGAGATATGGGGCAGAGGAGAGGAGGGCCAGGCCTAGGGCTCACACCCCCTCCCCACTTAGCCCTGCAGACTGACTGCCAGGGCCCTGAGGGCCTGGGGAGCTCCAGGCTCTTTCCCCTTCCAGTCCCCAGCCTCCCAGGGGCCCTAGGGCCCTGCCCCACCTGCCCATTTGTTCTTTGCCCTCTGCACCCTGTGAGGCTTGTTGTTCCCTATTAATGCACCCTTATTGGTACCTGCTCTTCAATGCTCTAGAGAAACTTTCTCCAGAGTCAGGTGTGGCCCAGACTCCCTAAGAGAGAGGCTTTGTCTGTCCCCTCAGACTGGACACTTCCTCAAGATGGCAGCTATGTCTACCCCAGCAGAGGAGCTGGCTTGGACCAGGGAGTGTGTCTCCCCATGGGAGCCCAGGGGTATTCTGAGCATGGCTTCTCTCCTTCCTTCACTTAGCACAGCCGACGAGAAGGGAAGGGGTGTCTCTTGGCTCTTTGTCTTGGTGCTGACCACGCAGCCCACCACCCTGATTCACGCGCCTGACCAATTAGGAAGGACAATCAGGAGGGCGTTGGGGGTGGAGCGCTTGCTAGAGGATGACTTGTGAAAGGAGAAACAGGGAGGTAAGATCGTCGGAGGAGATCGGAGCGGGAGGTTCTGGGGAGGAGACCAGGGCAGGGAAGACCGTGGGATGGAGGGTCATTGGCAGACAAGAGAAAGCTGAAGGGGCCTTCAAACCCAATGTTCCCATCTCAGCAGGTCCACTCTGGGAAGGGAGGTCGTCCATCCTTTCCGAGGGCAAAGCAGGACAGAGCGGGAGCACAGCTATACAGAGTCCTGGGCTCCACGATACCTCCATCCCCCCAGCCAGGGACATGGCCCCTCGTCCCTGATGCCTCTGCCTCAGAACCCGGGACCTGGAGGCTTTTTATTTCCACTTAAGGTGTGAAACATTTTCCCCAGCAAGGTT